AAACATGAGGTCCAAGAGGCTGTGTGAGTGACTGCACCGAGTCGTTAATGCATAAGGTGACTCTGTCATTAAGAACTAAGAAAATCTTCAACCAGCCTGGCTCAAGTATGATCAGAAATGTTCATATAAATTAACTTTTAAAGTTTTTTCTAACATTTAACTTTCACCATTTAGCACTTTCAAGTTCAACTTTATTTCTTCTTCTACTGATGCTCCTCCTCAAAAAACTGCAGTTGGAGAAAAACTCGTATTGTGTAGAGAGAGAAGCTGTGGACGGGCTACTGATCGGGCCTACACCGTGAGCCCTGAGACCAGAGAACTGTGAAGGAACTGTTAACCTCTGTTAGAAAGTCCATCAAATGTCCACAGAACAACCACTAAAAGACAAAAAAATGTTCTAAAGGCAGCAAAACAACCTCAAAATGACAAAAAAGACACAAAACAGGTAAAAAAAATTAGATCCCAAAATGGAAAAAAAACTATATAAAATAGTTTGAAACACATGCAACAAACAACCACAAGATAAACCGTTTACTTGAACTTGGCTTGCTCAACCTGTGAGTCCTGCTCCTAGACATCTGTAGTGGCCTTGTCCATGGTCTGGCTCCTGCTTCTGTCTGTGATGTGCTGACTCCTGAGCCTGGTCGCTGCTGCAGAGCCTCCGGCAGGGCCTCACTCATGGTTCCACAGCCTGGACTCTCTGAGCCCCTTCCTGGCCCTTTCTTCACTGTTCTAACTGGTCAGATCATTTATCATGTTTTAGACCTTGCTCTTGGTTTTATTACTTTTATTCCTTACTTATTGTGTTGTTGTAAAGCAGCTTAGAGCTGCCTCCATGTGCTAAGTCCCACTGTAGATATTAACAGTTTTGACTCAGATTACACTTAGACAAGACAGAAATTCATGTTGTGTGAGTTTCCAGGTTTTAGCCTCATCTTGTCTTGAAAATGACCTGGAAAGATTTAAATATTGTAGTTGAAGTGTTGTGAGAAAGCCAAACCCACTGAACTGCAGCTAAGGTCAAGATTCAGTTGTTTCTGACCAGAGGGCAAAGCAAAGCTCAGGAAATCCTAAAGTGGTCGATGCAGGACAAGTTATGTTTGCACAGTCGACAATAAACTTGCTGGCCTATTTCACGTAAGTTTAACTCGATGTTTAATATTAATTTCGGCTTCATCAGCCCAAGATAGTTCTTTCTGCGTCAAAACAAATCAGGCCTCATGCCAGTTACACTGCAGCCTGTAGTATAAACCTTTATTCCGGTTTGTTTTCCTCTTTATTGACGGGCAACATGAATAAATGTAGGCTTCTCCTCCGTCTCCCACTCCCACAGATCTACTGGGCTGGTACCAACTGCACAGCCACTAGTCACCTTGAAATTTCCTCTGCTATTTTCCAATTAAAAGCTTAATAGTCGTGGAGACGGGCTTCACGCGGGGAAGTTTACCGAGCTCTCTTTCTCAGGGAGCCGCGCCGCTCGGATCCCATTATTTGCTTGAATAAACCTTTTTACGGTCAGAAACGGGCCCCGGCTTTGTCCGGTGTTATGTTTCAATGCCCTCTATTAGTGGAGCAGAAGGGACAGATCAGCAGCCTCGACATAGTTCCCAAAGGGCTTTTATACATGCGGAGACTAATCATCTGAGTTATGCACGGCTGTGTAAAAGGTGCGAGGAGCAGCGCGCACACGTTTGGTCCGAGCCTGTGAGCCTGTGGGCCTACAGGAGACAGTCAGAGGAAACCCACATGCACTGAGCACAGTGCTCACCGAGCCTTGTGGGGATGTATTCAGAGATGAGATTCAGAGTTTTGACAGATGTTTGTCGTTAATCATCAGTGAAACTAACTGGGCTCTGACTAAAGGCTCACACGTCGTCTGACGTTTCTATGATGATATTTTCTATTTCATTTTTGCATTTTTTCCCCTCATGTCGAATTGTTTAAAAATAAAAGCAGCACATTCTACATCTGTGCATAATTTTTTAAGATTTCCTGAACATGTTTAGCTGGTTCGTGCTGGAGTTTATTATTATTATTATTATTTTTAAAATGTGTTTTGACATATTTTTGATATTCAGCTGATATTTGTGTTTGGACTGAAACTATGGGCTTCCTTCGGTTCCACTTCACTGGTTAATAATTAAACTATGAATTAGGTTTTTGGAGACTTATGGCTGCCAGTAGAAAACGCATTGACTCGTGAGGTTTGTCTTGTAACTGTATTTTTAACCTTTATAAATGTTTAGATTGTCTGTTTCAAGCAGTGTCTCAGATTTGACAGCTGGAACGTTGAGTGTTTAATATTTAACAGTAAAGTTATTTATTATTCTCTGATTAAAGCTCGTCTTCTGCTTAATGTTCAAGTGCTAAACCTGCAGCCGTTTGTCTTGTATATGCTTTTTTAATCTGCTTATGAGGGCCAGTAGAAAATACACTGCTTCCTGTGTTAATTTTGTCTTTCAGCCCCTAAATGCTTGGATGGTTGTTTGTTTCATGCAGGGAATCAGTTTTCCTGCGCACAGTGGGGTGTTAGATTACTGGCCTGTCTGAAGACGTTGCTGCAGCTTTCTGTGATATGTTTGGAAGAATATCAGCATTTTATTCTTAGCTACAGCTTCAAGTCTTCAAGCAGCAGAGCGCATGTGTTTCCACTGCAGGTCAAAGTGTTTCTGTGCTTCTCCAGTATTGACACAAGTGTTTTGCTCTTGAAAGTTATTGTCCCGTTTTAAAAGGAAACTCTACAGACGTGTGAACCTGGCAGGGAAAGGGGGTTATCCGATCCTCACTGCCAGTTTTTTTTTTTTCCCGAACTTCAGCTCACATTTTTTTCAGCGTTGACGCGAGTGACAGCGTTTGGTTACTCGGCTCCGTAAGTGCGTGTCAGCCTGATGCATATCTGCGCTGTCAGCCAGGGGAAAGGTGGATTCTCCACTACAAGCCAACCCCTCTTATCCTCATCCTGTCATGCGTGCAGCAGAGCTGTTCCATCTCTCCCACAGCAGCTGCTGACAACAACACCCCCGCTCCGCCTCGTCTCTCCGCAGATGCACTTGTGCGTCCTGGAAAACACGCTGCGTCTGACAGAATGAATGGCTACGGGTCCCCCTACCTGTACATGGGGGCTCCGGTGTCTCAGCCCCGGGCCCCGCTCCAGAGGACCCCCAAGTGCGCGCGGTGCCGGAACCACGGCGTGCTGTCATGGCTCAAAGGTCACAAGCGCTACTGCCGCTTCAAAGACTGCACCTGCGAGAAATGCATTCTCATCATCGAGCGGCAGCGCGTGATGGCCGCGCAGGTGGCGCTCCGGAGGCAGCAGGCAAACGAGAGTCTGGAGAGCCTCATCCCAGAATCCCTCAGAGTCCTGCCCGGCATCGGCATACCCGGTGCCGGCGAGGGGAACCAAGGAGCCCCGCCGATGACAGAGGAGCTAGAGCTGAGGTGGAGCAGCACGGAGCCGGTGCAGGCCGGAGCGCAGACATGCACAGGTACGAAGAGGAGGGGTTGACTGTAAATGTTTCTGCGGAATGGTGATTTTTATTTGAAGGAATGAAAATAATGAGAGGTCCTATTTAACAGAAACACGGTGACAGAAACAGTTTGAAACTACTACAGTTTGCTGCACGAAAGGTTCCAAAAAAGATGGTGTAAAAAAAACTTTTAATGAACGAATAAGGCCTGCTGCGCATTCCCAGAGGCAAAGGAGACGCAAGGACTGGCCATAAGACTTGAAGGCGTTTTAAGATGCTGCCATTTGTTTTGGGAGAGCCTGATTTTTATGGATAACATTTCATTGAACCCAAACGAATTTTCCTCTGATACGGAATGTTGTTTATAATGTTTAATCCAGGCCATTATTATTTTAAACCCATTACAAAACGACATTAATCTCCAGAGTGAGAAACTGATGGACAAGGAAGATGGAAGACAAAATGTCTTGACCTTAAAAAATAAAGACAAGTCAGCATCATGCAAAATAAAAGTCCTGTCCGGTGCGTTATGCTGAAGGAGAAATAAATTAGCCTGTGTTCTGTGAAGAGTTTACATTTTAAAAAAGCAATAAACGTCATTTTTTGACTCTTTAACAGAGAAGGACATTTAGTTCTGACAGTAGCATAAAATTACTTTTTCTTGTGAGTTTATTGAACATCACATTTAAAAATGATCTTGCTACAAAGCCACAAAACCACCAAATATTTCATTAATGAATCCGCTTATTATGCCCTGATTCGGTGGAATATTTAAGACGTGGTGTGACACTCGTGGATTTAACTGCCCTGTTTTTCAGCTTTAGCACTTTCGCCTTTTAGTTTGTTGTTGTGCTGTTTGTCCAGATGCTCAGTATTCTCCCTCCTATTGCCAGTCACACTCTGGTTGGATAATAACTGGATAGTTTCGCTCGCACGGTGCAGTTTCCATCTGAACCTTGTCCTGTCTGAGGCCACAACATCTGCACACCAGCACCGACATCAGCTGGCAAACAGGGTGGTGACAGTGATCAGAGCGGCCAGGCCCAGGCCGGTGTACCCCCCAGGAGGTCGACTTCAGACTAGTGACAGTGAACAACAGGAGATGTGTTCGCAAAATGCATCGACGGGAGATTCTTCAGTGACACAGCCAGCACCTTCTATTAGAAAATAAGTAAATCCTCTTAAATCGTTGGGTTGGAGACAGGTTGACAAATGATTAATAGTATGTTAACTTTCCTCTCGAGCAGAGCTTTAATCCGAGAGAAGTCTGCGTTGAGCTGCAGAGAAGTGTTTGAGGTCAGACTAGTGTTCAGTCAGTACCCCACCAGGCTGTGCGAGTTGACATTTGTTTCCTGCCCAAACTTGTCTCCTGACTTTCTGTTTCCGTGTCTGGCAGAGCCCACAGAGGATGGTCCTGATGAGGTGTCAGGGGGTGAAAACGGAGGGAGCTCCAGTGAGAAGGAGCAGGAGCCGGTCAGCTCCCCAGAGGGCTCCAAACCAAACTCCTGCTACACCCCGGAGCCTCCAGAAACCCCCTGCAACTCCGAGGAGAGCCGCTACAGCCTTCCTAAAGGCGGCAGCGCCGAGAAGGAAGCCAAAACAGAAAGTCCTCAGAAGTATCCCGTGAGCCCCGGGGAGCAGGGCGTGCTGATCGAAGGCCTCGCCGGCTCCATCAACCTGCCCTTCAGCCTTCGAGCCAACCGGCCGCCGCTGGAGGTCCTCAAGAAGATCTTCCCTGCTCACAAGCCTCCTGTCCTGGAGCTCATCCTCAGAGGCTGCGGGGGGGATCTAGTGGGGGCCATCGAGGTGCTGCTGTCCAGCCGGAGTCCTGACGGGGGCGCGCAACCTCACACTGACCCGCACCCAGAAGCCTTGGTGCTGCCCTCTAACGGACACCTGTTCGAGCACACGCTGGGCTCCTACCACCCGGTGTCTTCCTCCGCCAAGTGGTCTGTGGGCTCTGCTTTCCGGGTGCCCGAGTCCCTCCGGTTCACATCCGACTCCGCTTCGGGCGTGGTGTCCACCGGCCCGCTGGGTGTCCCCCTGCAGCACCCGTCCTTCCCGCAGCCCACGCGCTATCCACTCATGTTGCGCAACTCTCTGACGCGCAGCCAGGCCAGCCCCTTCATGCACAACGACGTGACTCTGTGGAATACCATGGCCCTGCAGCAGCAGTACCAGCTCCGATCAGCGGCCCAGTACGTGTCACCTTTCTCCCCCGCCGGCCCCGGCGGAACAGTGTTCCGCAGCTCCCCCATCCTCCCCTCTCGACCCTCCGAGGAGCAGCGCGTCAGTGTCCAGGAGGAGAGCTGCACCCTGGGGCCCAAACCTGGCCTCTACTCCCCGGACGAGGAGTACGAAGAGCGCTCTGAGTCCGCAGACTCCCGCATCCTGAACTCATCCACCTAAAGTCAGTGCGGATGGTGGAGTTCTACAGCAGAGGAGAACCAAAATGTATTATCGTGAAAGGACATATTTGTGTGCGTGTGCGTGCGTGTGTGTGTGTGGAGGGGTCAGTGTCTCGTTGGATTTGAACTGTGAGAAGCAGTCACCCTTTACTAGTGTGATGTTAACCCTCTAACATCAGTCCTGGTGCTTTCCAGATGTCACCGGACTTGACCAAAACGGTTGAATGTAACAAACTGTGATCACAGCTATTATTTTGAAAACCCATCAGCTCTTTCCTGTAAGCATGTTTAATACTGTGAAAACGTTCGATGTCAAGGTCACCGCTGCATGTCAAGAGTAGCCTGTGCCAAATAAATCTCGAGTTGTCCAAATCGATCAGATTGTTGTCTTAAGTGTTGTTAAATGAATTCAGGCTTTCACTCTGGGCTATAACAGACTTGTACACGTAGAGATGTTGTTCTTGTGCTTGTTTGAAGATAAATGGCTTGGATTTGCACATAATAATTATATTGTATGAAGAAGTGCAGTGCTATAAATGCGCACATGGTTTCATTGTTCAATAATCATGCATTACTTCAAACAAAATGAAACATCAGAGAGGACTACGGGTTACTTTATTAACAACAGTGGGAATACAACACTACTGCATCATGGTCTAAAATGTGTCTGATTGGTTCATTGTAAGAGCAGAATAATGTATCAAATTATCAAGGTGAGTTATATGGACAAACACTGACACTTTCTCATAACTGGGCACAAATTGTAGCAGTATTTTACATTTGCTGTCAGAGGAACCCTGCAAGACGATGTGGAAAAATTGGGATTTGTAATGGTTGGTATGAGCAGTTCTAAGATCCAGGTCAAGCATCCAGGATTTGTTAAATAGATGGAAACACAAGTATAAAAACAACATCATGTAGTATCCTAACTAAAATTTTTCAAAGTTCCCAATCTGGACAGCCACATATTTATAAGGTATGGCTACAAGCATAAAAGAATGTCAGTCACTGCTGTGGGAAGCAGGATTTGTCCAAACTGTAGTGAGGAGTGTAAAATCTGTCTGAAACTGTTAAACAGGTGGTGGAATATTAAAGAAATAAACAGTAAACAGCTCTCGTGGATGTTAAAGTGAACGTCTTGAGATCTTGAATAAAATTGAGTAAAATGAGACAAGATATACGGTGAGCATCGCACTGCCAGACCCTGCATGGGAATAAGTATTCTTCTCTGAACTTAGACAGATATTTCAGGATCCTGATCCTTTTTTTTAACCTCACTTCAGCTGATGAAAGGTCGCCCCTCGAGGTGTTGTAGCAGCTCTTTCTCTAAGTCATTTTCTGGTTTTCCAAACAGCAAATAAAAACCTCACCAACTGAAGAGACAGGAGACATCTGGATGATAAGACAAAAATAGACCAAGACTGCGTATAGGTCAGTTTCTGTGGCACTTTTTACACGTCTATAATCAGGACTTGTGTGGATTGTGAAACTACAAAGATGAGCTGGTTTCAGATATTCTATTGGGTATGCATTTACTCACATGTTGTGTTTAAGTACAATTCTGAGGTATCTGTGCTTGGGTATTTTCCTAATACCTAATACTTTGGCTTGCATTTCAGAGGAAAATATTGCACTTTTTACTGCACTACTTCTTTTTTTTGTTGCAGTTACTTTTCAGAATCAGATGAATAAAACATCTAATGGGAAATTAACAAGCTGCCAGCAGTAATTTACAGTATAAGTTAAAATCAGCTCCACCTCTGCCAGCTGCAACACTAAAGTGATGAACACAATAATGTTTCAATAATTATAATCAAATGATGTGATACACGTCATGTGAAATGTGCCTTTCGCTTTCCCTCTGAGTCACGCTGGTTTGTTGAAAAATGCTGCCATCTAGTGGTGAAATTCATCAATATCATATTTTTCTTACAGGTTGAACCGAATAACTGGCTCCAATAACTGAAGATTTAGGATTGAAAACTAAGACTAAGCACAGAAAATACAGAAACCTGATCATTTGTAAGTATTGCATTTTAATGTAACTCATCTTTTGTTTTGTCCCTCAGTGCACATCAGCTGCCAGCAGGTTTAGGGCTCATTGTCATGTTCAGGTGCATTTTTAAAACAAGACCTGTGTTTAATTCTAGGTCAACAGTGAGGGGAGAAAAGTTTTCACTCATATAATGTTTTTGGGAATCTAGAGCAGAAATACTCAGTTTGTATGAAGGCCGCAATATGCTAACCCCTGGACATAGGAATAAAGCTTAACCTCTCACACTAAGGTGGCATATTTGAAATATATTAAAGCTCCAAACACTGTTTGAGGTTTTATGACAGAGATGTTCACTCAGTAATTAACTACCATGAACCTGCAAACAGAGTTCCCTGCAGACCTCCCTCTTTCATGTTATTAATTCAGGATAAGACCCCAAAACCTCCCAAATAACAACAACCTGCAGTTATTGTGGCAGCTACCTCCTTAACCCCTCAGATGTCACTGTACTGAGAAACTTTTATAGACCAGTATACTCCGGCTCTTTGAGGAAGTGTTAAATTTAGTCTAAAACAACCAATGAAAACTGTGTCACTGGACACTTAAGACCATATCTGTTTTACACAGTATTTATTTGACATAAGATGTGATTAAGGATGGGATATTTAAAGAATAGTGTGTAGTATGTAACAAGTAAACAACTGGATATTTTAGATAAACCCTTTTCTGATGTAACTGTCTAAAAATCATTTTAGCAGTTCAATCTTGGCCTTCTGTCAACCCTGTGAACTGTTATGCAACCTCACACACTCACTAAGACTTGGGTAATCACACTCACTGGGAGTTGTGTATATATGCGGCCTTATCCATTACCACTTAAAAGTGTAAACCCACTAAAATCATAAGAATGTCAATAACATCAAACCTGACTCAATAACCACAGAGTATTAAACCTTTTCAGGAATTTTATATAGAAGCTTAACAGAGCTACAGCAAAGTAACAAGCAGTAAAATATAGACCTTAAAATCATCAATAATTGTCTTGATTGGCTTAAAATCTAAATAAATCAATAACTACTATTTCTAACATCACTCTAAAATATTATACTGATTAAAATTATTATGGTTGAGCTAAGCTCTTGATCTGAATAAAAGTCAAAGGTCTCACATCACTGATCCTCAGCTGGCTCTTTGTCTTCTCCAACCTCCCCAGTTTCTACCGTCTGGTCCCAAGATCTCTTAGCAGTTTTGTTTTAGGATCCCTGAACTCCTGCAGTACCTCAAACTGTTCAAGGACCTTCACCTCCCTGTAAAGACTCCTGCAGCTCCTTATATGTTGAATGGTCAAAGCAATTTTTGTTCCACTCAGCTGCATAAAGCTGCACACACAGTGGATTTGACCTGTTCACAGCAGGAGGACACGTCCTCCTGATTGCTGTCATGAGAGGTCGAGGTGTCCGAGCCCTTCAGACAGAGACAAATGTCGTTCCACCTGGTTTTGTATTCAGCTGCATCTGTTGTCAGTCTATCAGAGGCTAATTAACATAACAGGATCTTCGGCGATCCTGCCCTGCTCTTCTATCTATACACAGCTCCTGTTACTCTTTACAGCCTGCACAGCGGGACACTTCCAACAAGACGCTGTTGTTTCAATCAAGCCCCAAAGTGGACAGCGTGTGAGAAAGTGTCATTATGTGTCTGGGTCTTTGTCCAGGTTGTGCCAGTTGAAAAGGAGCAAAAGTTTATTTTCAACCCAGGATCACTAGACCTTCTCAAAATATTATGTTTTTAAAATATTTTTCTTATTTATTTTTGCATCATAATCCCTTCAAATTCCTTGAAGTTCTCCACACCCTTACAAAAGCTCCCTAAATTATTTTGTTAATAACAAAACCTTCCTGGAAGAATTTCAAGGATCCCCAGACCTCTGCAGAGATTCCAGACTTGCTCAGTATTGCCTGGAATACTTTCAAGAATCCACAGAAACATGTCAAGAATTCCTGGACCCCATTAGAAACCCCCAAAGTTCCCTCAATATTGCCATCTTTTTAAAGACCCTTGGACCCCTTCAAGCATCCCTGTAACCTTTCAAGGATTTTGGAAACCTCTTCAAGGACCCCAACAGCTCCCAAGGTCCCTGCAGAGATCAATACAGCTTCTTCATTATTGTCTAGAACCCCATCAAGGAATCTAGAAAGCATCACAAAAATCATCAGACTGTTTAAAGAGCCTTGAAACTTTTTCAGTGAGGTGCTGAACCCCTTCAAAGATCTCCAGATCTCCTCAAAGAGCTCTGCAGTTATTTCAGTAATGCCTGGAAACAATTGAATGATCCCCAGAAACCCCTGAAGGTTTCCAGGTCCTGCAAAAACCTATAAATCTGATTTGACAATGCTTGGAACCCCTTTAAGAATCCATGGACTCCTTTATAAATCCCTAGAGCCCCTTCAAGGATACCTGTAACTTATTCAATGACCCCGAAAACTTCTAAAATATTCTAAAGCAAACACCAGTGAAGCTCTTTTGGTAATGCCTGGAACCTCATAAAGGATTACTAAAAGCTCCTCAAGGATCCTTAGATCCTTTCGAACACAAACCAGTTCAAGAATCCCTGGAAACCCCTGAATGACCATCAGACCCTGAAATTGATTTAACAATGCCTGGATTGCATTTAATGATCACTGGGAATGCTTTATGGCTTCCACAGTCATTTCCAGACTCCACATAGAACCCTGGAACTCCCTTCAAGGAAAACTGGAACCTCCTCAAGGACCACTAGAACCATATCAAGCTCTAATAACCTCCCTAAAGTCCCAGTGAGCCCCCTTCTGAATTCTTCAAGACCATCTGACATACCACTGGAAGCCTTAAAAGGATGCTTGGAATGCCTTCAAGGGACCCTAAAATCTCTTAAAAGACCTCTGGAAACCAATTCAAGCACTTCCAGAGACCCCACATTGTTCCTCCGTAATGAGGCAACAGACACAGACACCACATTTCACTTGGAGGGCCCAGTGCTGACCTTCCTGTCCCACCACCAGCATCAAAGCATTCCTGATGTGGAAACAGCAGGCTGGGGTGGTTGGCCGTAACCTCTGTAATAAATTAAGACAAAGTAGCAACTAAAGCTGCACCTGCGTATCCGACGTCTTCACCTTCACCACACAGAGGAACCATGATAAAGAGCCAGTGAGAAAGGAGCAGGGATGGATTTTAAATTAAAGTGGTAGTTCTCTACCAGGACAACTTTGAGTCTAAACATCTAGAACTCTAGAGCTAAAGTATTTTATAATAATAAGGCCAATGGATCCATGTGGGGCAGAGTGTAGGGAGGTGCCACCCCACCCCCACCCTCAGGTTACCCAGCCCTGACCCCAAATTACTGAAGCTTAATATAATTGGCCTAAACTGACATTTAAAACTCACAAATCACTAGTGATTAATAGGGTTAAATACATATGTCTCCAATTTAAGAACATCTGACTGCCTTTTTCCAAAGTAAGACAATGAAAACCTGATTGATTTGGGGGCCACTGTGGTTCAGTGGGTAGAGCAGTTGTCTCTGAACTGGAGGTTTAAATCTTGGTGCCTGCAGTTCATGTGTCGAAGTGTCCTTGGGCAAGACACTGAACCCCCAAGTTGCCCCCAATGGTTAGAGCCATCAGCTGGGTTGGTTCTGTACTGGAAACAAAATTCCTTGTGTGTAACATACTTGACCAATAAAAGGGATTATGATTATTAAAATAAAAAAAAATATACCTGAGCACATTTGAACTTTATGAACATATTTTGATGTGCAAATATCTAGAACCTCTGTATCTAGAATACAAATTTGCAACACTGCTTAATTTTTGACAGAATTATGTCTAGTCACCCTACTTTGGAAAATTGCCCCTCCCAGAAGTATGAGCCTGATGCTGGCTACTCTCTCTGAGGCTCTTCAGGCCTTTAAGGAACTGCTGCTACACAATCCTCTAGTGCCATTTTCACACCTGAAGCCCAAAGTGTTTATGTGAGAACCAGTTGCAAGGTGTCTGTGTTTAGTCAGACCCTGATCCGAGCAGAACCTGCAGTAACACATTACTAACTTATTGTAATGTAACACATTACTAACTTATTGTAAAGCATGTGTTGTTGGGTTTGGTTTTTGCCCGAATACTGGATCTGTGCTGTCTCCAGTGATCCTGATGCTGCAGGGCTCTCAGCTCCCAGACAGCCACCAGCTGCAGCAGCAGAAGATGACGGTTCAAGTGTAGGTGTCCCATACTATTTATCTCAAATGAAAATTTTGGTTTTATAAAATTTAATTCAATGTTATAATTTTGTATTTTTTATTTTTATAACCGAGTTATATGTGAATCATTTAGATCACTATAAATCCCTGAAGCCAAATAACTCACTGTTATTATTACTGAATGTGAAAATTCATTTTCGTTGCTATGAAAATAGGCCTGTAGGTGAATGTAGGCCTGTCTATAAAATCTGAAATTCAGAAAGTAAAAGTTAAACATTCAATTAAGTCTTGACCGTTGAGTAAAGCATTAACCCGTAACCGAAAGCCCACAGACTTCATTCAGTGTTCATTAAGAATAAAAGCTATGAATCTAATTTCCAAGCAGGACTCAAGCATGACGAAATGGGTAACTCGGCCTACCCTGCCCCTGTTTATGAACAGATTACACACTTTAAGCTATATATTCGTGACATAAATTCGTGTCATATCCTCCATTTAACTTCGCTTTGTTCATTCACTTAACATCACAGACAAAAGGTTGAAGTAAAGATCTGTGACTGTATTGTCTCATCAGTGGCCATGGAAGGCTGTTGGCACTAAATAAATCCTGCCATGTCTCTTTTTCTTTTTGAGTTGAGCTTTGATTCAGTAAGATGCAAACAAAGAGCCAAAGTGGTTGCTGTGTCACACCCACAGATAATTTCCCCAGATTAATCAGATTATTAAATAAAGAATTAGGAGGACAATGGAGAGACTTTATTCAGTTGTCAGTGTGTGTTTCTTTGGAGGATCAGATGTCCTCACATTAAGATCTTGAAACTCAGGGAATTGCTTTTCATGCTGAAATCTCAAGGTTAAAATAGGATTTAATGTATTAAGTGATTTTAACCTATTATAAATAACTTTGGCATAAGGCTGAAGGTTTCTTGAAAAAGTTTGGGTTTGAAGTAGAATTTAAGCTTAAGGTGTTTTTTAGACATGGGATTAAGCAAATCCTGTGGCTCATGATCAGTTCAAGCTAAAGGTTGTAGGTTGAGTTTGACGTGGTTGTTGTTTTGCTGAACTCTCTCCTGCCCTGGCACTGTTTTGGTTTTTTATTTTAGGTGTGATTGTTACATGTGCCAAGAAGACAGACTGTAGCAACCTGCAGGACACATCTATCACCTGTCCGCCTGCTCGGACAGAGGGCGATTTAAACTGGGATCTCTGTAAATACACCTCATGACAGAAACAATACAGAGCACTGCAAACGGAACAATCACTGCAATATTAAAGGGACTTAAGGGGGCATTTTTGTGTCAGTCTGTGGATTCTCATTGTATGGGAGCTGCTTATGTTCTCAATTGTGACCTTTGACCTCAGTTAGGATACCCTATAAATCTGAATTCTGTGTCCTTTCAAATCACTTTCAAATTAATGTTATGGCAAATTCAAAATCTTTGTGTTAAAAAAGGGGATAAAACATAAAAACGAAGTAAAAAGAATGCTAAATGTCTTTTTTTTTCAGTGAGTAAAAGAGTTGTGGCCTAATTTGTCGGCGGTTTTTACAGGCCTTTAGCCTACAACAGTCAACAGTGAAATTTTACAAAATGAATGCCTTTTCTTTGCCATAAGTAAAAGACTTATTAGCACTTATTGAGGAAAATACTTGTTCTCCTGCACAGACTAACTCACTGGGGGGCCCTGGAGCAAAATTTTGTTGTGGGCCTCTGTTACAACATGGCACCCAGAAACCAGTAGAGAGAAATTGTTGATGATTTAGGCAATTGACTAAATAATTCACATAATATTTAAAGAAAAATACCAAAGATGCATTGGTATCCCACCAGGGTCTCAAACTGCTTTTTCATTTTAGCAAACTCATATGTGCAGCTATTTGTTGCTCAAACGAAAAAAGAAACTAGAATATGTTAACTTGGGCTTTATGGGATTAGAGTGAAGGCCCTTTTCCCATAGGTCTGCACAGTTTTTTTCCCCTGTGTTTATTATTTGAAACGGAAAAAAATAAAGCAATTTGATAAGATCTTTACAACAAACAAGTGCAATTATAAATTAAAACAATTAACGTCTTATAGAGTTCCTCTGCAAGATATAGGATGGAGGACCTGTGATTACAGGCCACTTCAGTCAGTGGTGCAAATCTTGAACAAGTATGTGATTAAATTTAGAACCAAATGTGCTGTTTGTGGCTTTTGGGGCCCAGCTGGTAATTCATCCCGCCAGTGTTAAGATATTTTCATCCATAAAAAGACAAACTATTGGGGACATGCTGGTAATAAATTAAACAAATTAGCTTGATTAGCAGTGGTGATGTGGTGTGTACACTGGAACAGGGCGTGATGTGAACGTGCTTAGATTAGGTAGAACTTTATTGACCCCATAACCTTCCTTTAAATGATGCAGAGTAGAAGAATAAATGTAACTTGTTTTGCTACTTATCATCAAGTCTTTACTCGATAAAAGTCATAAACTGCTTATTAACCCTTATTACAATCTACCTCCGCTGATTACCTGCTCGCAGTCTCATTGGTCGGTGCGTGTGGCGCAGCAGCCAATCAGAGCTCAGAGCGCAGGCTGAAGCCGTTCATAGGAGCAGCGCTCTGAGCGTCGGTTTCAGAGGGACGTCGGTTCTGTCCGGAGCGCGGTTCCCGATCGTTCACCCGGTCCTCAGCTCTGGCCTGGAGTGTGGAGTCTGTGTCTGTCCTTCAGCGATTCATCACTGTCCTAACGACGTGGTCACCTCCTCCCCACGCGGCCGGACAGCCCCGGACAGTACCGCGGAATTAGCGTCTGCAGGTAAACCCAACTCTTCTTCTCTGATTAACAGGCGAAGTCATAGTATGTAATAAATTCTTTAAATACAGGCTAGTAAAACTCCGAGGTTTGATCAGATACCTGTATGAAATAAGAAGTCAAATGGCACAAACTAGTCCGATTTTAAACTCACATGTCCGGGGACAGAGACCCAAGCTGTTCGCTGGGCCATTGGGCCCTATAAATGACCAGACTGTTATAATGATGTTCCCTTGACGGGATTTGTTTTTGAACAGCCCTCTAATAATGACAAGGCCGACTGGCCTCCTCTGTTTTCTAATTTAACTACAAAATGACTCGTCCATGAAAAGTTTATTCCCAGTTTAATAGGCCAGTGTTCAGCAACCATCTGTAGAACCGTATCGGTGGCCTGGGCTAAAATCTGAAACAGCCCAAACTATAGGATGCGCCCTGAATGTCGGTAACTAGCTGGAAATAATATGGAATTCATGGAAAAATAAAGTGATGGGCTTTGCTTATCTTCTCGGAGTGCAATCAGCCTTTTTAGTGTTTTTAATCTTTTTGAAATGATTTGTACAAAGTTTTTCCCTCAAGATTAAGACCTGTAAATAATCTGTGGTCATATTTGATGAACCACAGTTAGCAGATTATTAAAGGCATGATGTTGAGCTGCCCCGATAATTAAGTGACACCAGTTCCCAGGAGTAAACAATCCACATGTGTCTCCAGCCGTAAACAGGGTGTGAAAACAGCCGGCCTTAGAGATGTCAGACAGCGCAGGTTGCGAGTTTGAAATTGACGTGGAGAGCCTGGAGGCGGAGAACGACGACCCGGCGGACTCCTCCAGCCGCCCCGGATCGGCGCCCCCCGGC